ATTTTTTTCGTAAGTATATGCATAATATGTATAGAACACACCCATACCGATAAAAACAATACCAGATATAATAATTAAGACTTATTTATTGCACGGGTATAAAACCTAGTGTGGATTGTCTAACAATTAATTACTCAACTTTTTTTTATACTGTGATAATGGCAATCAACTTTCTACCAATTAGTTATTTTCTATTAATTTTATTTGTTATATTACGTTTACTCCATTTTCTTCAAATGTTGCAATATGGTACTTATTATTATTATGGTACGGATTATAATTATAATAATAGTTCAAAATACCTATATAAGCTTACAATATATCCGCTCTATTGATGCTTAACCGTGGTTTCAATACTCAGTTATTTGTATGTCTGCGTTTGTGTGAACTCAAACTCTTACGATCTTATCGTCCGCTTTTTCGCAAAATATCAAATAAGAACCGGCGACTATAAAAAATATAAAATCACCATTCATTGGACACAACAAGAACATAAAATTAATTGGGACAGGCAGTTGTAATGTTTACAAAGTATTGATGAATGTGACACCTGGCCGGAATCGGCAATTTTTTATGTCTTCTACCGGGAAAGACAAACCAGCTACTTATCTATAATATACTTATTATTAAAAAAATATTTGATTCAACTCAACATATTTATAAAAAAACTTTCGTTCTTATTTTTTTTATTTAGCATGGGAGACAAACCACCTTCGGGCTCATCTGATGGTAAGTGATTACCGTCGCCCATGAGTACCCGCAATACTAGGGAAATTGTAAGTGAGTTGGCGGTGTTTTAAGAATAAATAAGCTCTTTTCTTGAAGATTTCAATATAGCATCGGTTCGGAAATACCATTGATGGCAAGGTTATTAAACAGATAACTTAACACTGAGCTGTGCTTGCAATTATGATAAAATTAATATGGCAGAAAAACAGGAATAATCCGCAAAAGGAATATAACGACGTATATGTATGGCATTAATTAGACAAGATTTTCATGCTACTTTCATTGAATGTATTAAACATTCTAATGACTAAACCAAAGGACTGAAAAAACTATGTATCAGTTGAAATAATTAACAACAAGATTATTAAATATAGAATAGATTAAGATGTGGGCTGGAAATATATCTAAATCTATTATTGTAATTGAGAAAATACCTATAAAATTGGTTGTAAAGGAAAGAAAATTCGTAAAAAGGTCAGAAAATATCTAAAACGTTTTCTATACTAGGTATTTTGTTAACGTAGTTATCAAATAGCAATAAGAAATACAGTGTATCGATTGCCTAAACAACTATCTTTAAATAAATACAATAGACATTTTTATTTGCATTATACAGTAAACAAGTTTAAACAATACTTAATTCTTAAGTATACAAAAATATTTGGTATCCTTGTGTATAAACGGCTGAACCCTAAAACGTTAAATTGTAAGAGCTTATTAAAAACAAGCAGAACTAGTTACACACACATCTATAGTTACTATAGTACACACAGTAATGTATAATTGCTTTGTGTCATATCAGGCCGAGAGCGTAGTGTGTAGCTGCTATTACTGTTTGATTTGTTTGTAGCGGGTTCCTTTGATATAATTAGTTTGTTAATAACATTATAATGTAGCTGTTTGTGGGCTTTGTTCGTTTAGAAGTTGCAATTATAAAGTGCTGACTGTATGTTTTACGTAGTTAGTCTAGTTTGAAAGAGGTCTATAAATAATTAAATGGCTCGAAACAAGCTGCTTGATTAAAGCGCTGTATTTAACCTTCGATATATTTATTTATTTTTACATTCCATAGTTTTAAGCTTGTTAATATAATAATATCTTTGTTTGGTATCCACTATTCTCGCAATCTGTATTGATGTTTCTGTTATAATCGAAAGAGTATACTCGTTTATTTATAAAAAAAAGTTATTTTTTCATACTACAATAAACAAGCACTTGACAGCGTAAAATTGTAAAAAAAAGATTTAAGAATATAATTTTTTTCTGTTAAATTAACATTGTAAATGTGCCTGAAAACTAAAAAAAAGCCAATCGAATATAATTAAGATATTAAGGTTATTTCTAACAATAACTAAGTAATAAACTACTTAGTAATACTAACAAAAAACAAAATACTAAACCTCGAGTGCGTTCCGTATTAACATACATACATATGACATTTGCCCACGTAATCATAGAAGTAATGTCGCGTAAGTCATTATTTCTTTTTGTTATTTTCCGCGCTGTCAACACCAGAAAATTGTTTACAAGGCGCTTGAATATAATGTTATTTTTGTAATTATATCAACGTGATACTTACCTATATGTAATTAACATAAAACAGCTCATTATGGTGGATAATGGCATAATGAGCGACCGAGTTTTCCTTATTACTGCAGTAATTGCATATTGTTATAACTATGGTCATTTTCTAGCGGTTGAAAATCTAGGATCTACTAGATGGAATACTGCGGATTTGTTCTACATTGGAACCGTTCTATTTTATTAAATTACATAAAGAGACACTATATAAAAGTAGCGCTAGTGTCGGAGAAGTTGAAGAATAAACTATTGTCTTGCTATGGCCATATAATGTGTAAAAATAAATATATTTTAAAGACTGATATATGTATATTGATGTAGATGGTTATGCCAAAGAGGACTGCCAAAAAAAAGATGGATTTATTATGTCAAAGATGATATGACAAGAAAGGGAGTGAATGACGAGATGACTGCGAACAGGGATGAAGAAAATCGTATTAAACCAACTCTAAATGACTGGGATTAGGAATTGCCAGATGATAACACAGGTACTAGATAATTCATCACTGGTATAATAAAACAAACAGACAGTAATGTAACCACTAGCTATTATGGCCTACTATAATTAAGAATGATAATTAAACATAATTAGGAAGGGACATTACCGCGGTGATAGCATCTAGTTTTTATTGCATATAAATTAAAAATGTTAATGATGTTTCATTACGTTTGCAAGCCATTAGTCAGTAATGAAAAATGTAATCTATATTAGTAATTTTACACAACTACCGCTAAAACTAGTAAATCTGAAGGAAGTCTTCCGGGATGAAATGATGTTAATAATAATAATCTCAGGATAATTCACACAGCGCCATCTAGTCCTTAGTTAAGCTAGCTAAACCTTGTGTTATGGGTACTAGATATATAGATTTTTTTTCGTAAATACATTCTTATTAGATTATACATAGAAAACACCCAGACTGATACAATCATACTCATGCATATAATATTAATGCCGTGCGACAAATCGAATACGCGACCATCGGAAGTAAGACGGTGTGCTAAACCGCTAAACCACCGATGCTTAGGTGTAATGTTTTCAGGCTTTATGTTTTTATATTTGTATTGTCGGCTTCTTTATCAATCCTAATTGACGATCTAGAGTCTTGATTCTAGATCTTTCAAGAAATTAGGCTGGCGCTATAATCAATTATAACAGTCGCATTAAAGAATGTGATGTATAATTTTGATCCTATATTACAATTCATTAGACAGAAATAATATACTGAGATAGTTAATATTATACCTACATTTATTACTAAAAACTCAATATTTTGTATATTCATTTTTAATGCATACACAATCACCAAGAATGGATTTTCTGAAATTTCTATGCAATCGAGCGATAAGAGGTCCGAAGCAGCGTTAAACAACTTATTCACTTATGCAAAAGCTTTAACGTTGTTCGAGAAACCTAATGATTAAACCTAAGTAAGCATTTTTATTACTTTTTTAGTCTTTTATAACTTCAGTAGAACTTTTAGTAGTTAGAGACTAAAGAAGTTTTCCTTTATATAGGTACTTATTAAACTATAGGCATCTCAGATTCAGATATGTTTCAAAATCATTTAAATATCGGATGACGTGTTGTCAATGACAAAGGTAAAAACCCAATAAAAACACGTGGAGGTAGAATTATTATACCTAATGTTACTTCATTGATGATTAATATAAGATACTTGAAGGATACAATAAGATATATTATATCTAATACGTCTATTTTCCTGTTTATAATTTACTAAATACGTCAATTCACCAAAGATGAAAAAAAATATATGCATGACAATCAAACTATGATTTTTATAATAAATTATTATTAAAAGTATAAAAGCTTATGGTGATGCCAATGATGATTCCGATGGTTGTGGGTTCAATTCGTCGCACGATACAAACATTTGTATTCGTGAGTATGATTGTTTGTATTGGTCTGGGTGTTGTTTAAGTATATGAGATACATATTTATAAAAAAAAATATCTAAATATTTATGTCAGCACGCACAAGACAATTTGCTCAGCTTGGGATTATTAGACGTCGCTATGTTATTATAATAAATTTATTTTTCTTGACTGGGAGAAATGCGAACAAAATAATGAATTTTAGCAATATGATAATATGATATCATATTTTATTTAAGGATAGTAAAGATATTAATCGTTCGTGTAATGCTTGCCCTATGTAGATATTATAACAAATGTTCATTACTACATATAGATCTAAAACAAAATAGATGTGCTGCCGTCCGTCGAGTAATTACACTCATTGTCACATAATTACAACCAACAATTGTCATTGCACCCACGCTACACTAACCTTATCTAAACTCAATAAAGATCTAATTGCGCAAGTCATAGGGGTTGTAATCCATTAACATCATATCCAATTGTTAGAGACGAAAGGTTATGTAACATAATCTAAGGCACAAAAAATATATCAAATCAATAATCATTATAATAAATGTGAAAGATTTCAAAAATGATTGGACGTATTCAAATGATAATTGGAATACGAATAAAGTGTATCCTAAAGTATAGTATACTTTTTTAATCTGTTCTGATGAAGTCGTTAAATATAGCTAAGAAAAGTGTTCGAGGAACCGATATTATTTTCAATAAACATTGTTGATTTACAATGTTTATTGAAAATAATTTCAATCGTCTCTTCAAAGACATTAAAAAATAATGTGACTTACCTATTGATATTATTCATCGCGACTGCTCCAGAATTGTCTCTATCGTTTCTTTCTCTAGATCCACCAGCAAATCTCTCAAAGTTTTCTCTTTCTTTATAATGCCTGTCTGGTCTAGGCGACGATGACCGTCTACCTTGCATCTGTTGGGGCATACTATTCTGTTGGACTGTTTGTAGAAGACTATGATTCCCTTGCGGCTGTTGTAATGCTTGAAGCAACTCTTGTGCATTGGCAGCGCCGTTTGATAAAAAATTTGGCAAACCTGGATTCAGTAAGGCATTTGATAGACTTGGGTTTATCATGTTCGGTCGGATTGGCGCCGATTGTTGGGGGTTCGAATTTAATAGTTGGTGGGGTTGGGCCATCGCTTGCAGGTTGGCGAGAGACGTTGAGACCACTTGGCCGTTGTTTAAGGCAAGATTTACCATTTGGTCGTTGGAGTTCACGTGGTTTACTGGTATCGTTAAGATGGTTTGTGTAGCAATACCTGCGCACAAATAATACAAGGTATTTTTAACATATTCTTAACAGTATAAATTGAGTACATATTTTATATAATGGTAGATTAATTCTTTTAAATAATGACGTATATTAAGCTTTATTGTATTAAATGTTTAAATGCTTTGTGATTTAAATAATCAAAAAGCATTTAAGCATGTAAGACTAACATCTCTTAATAAGACTAAAATCACTGAATTACATCGTAAAAACGCTATATTATTTATTTTGAAATCTACAGTTAATTGAATATAATAGCAAATCAATAATACTTAATTATAATAGGAAAATTAGTAATTTACTAAGCTGGTTTTGAAAATTATTTGTAATAAAATACTATATATTTACAAATCATTGGTTGTTAGATGATATAAAATATTTTAGTGTTTCGTATAATCAATAAATTGAGTAATAAGGACTGAACTTGATATAAACTCACCTTGCGAAGTTGGTATAAGTAGTTGGGCGCCTTGTATACCCTGAACGAGTTGCCCTGAAGCCAGAATAAGTTGAGGCATAGGGGACGGCATCGCTGGTGGTAGCATATTGTTGTTGCCGACCGGATTTGGTGAACCCATTCCTACGGCCAAAGAAAAAAGTATTCAGCACAAGTACTAGAATTTAATCAAGTATCAAGATATTATGTTTATACACGGCCTCGGTGTTCTAGCGGTTTAGCTTAACGGTTTACTTCCTTTGGCTTGGTATCATTCCGGAAGTTTTCTATGTACAGTATAGATATATTTAAAAAAATGTATGTAATGTATGTACATAATTGAGTTGTAGGTATAGTACCTATAACATAAGCTCTGCTTAGTTCGGGACTAGCCGAGATGGCACAGTGTGAATTGTCCTGGGAAATTATTATTCACAAAAAGGGGACTAACATGCTGTAACATGGACAGTCAGAAAGGATGCCAAGACGACCGTCAGACAGAATACTAAAACTTAAAAATCAACAAGAAACAAAAATGGAAATCAAATGGAACTTTTCATACTAAATTCACGATCGCGTGCACGCAGTTTGTACGAAGCTTCTAAATCTTACATTTTGCTTCTTTGTAAAAGTTCTTCAGTTTAGTATCTCACTAAACGCGGAAGTTTGTCAATATGGATGGATGGATGGATGTTTGTTACTCTTTCACGCAAAACCTTGTGAATGGCTTTTAATGAAACTTTACAGTATCCATCAGAAAAAGACATATATAAATAAATAAATATAAATATAAATTTTATGCAGGTGAAAGTGCAGGTACAGCTAGTATGCCATAAAAGTTAACATATACTGGCTAATTATGATTTAACGAAACCAAGAGAGACTTTATATTAAATTGTCGAATGTATTTAATGTTGTAACGTAATTAGTGATATGTATGTATACCTACATAAAGATCTACACAAACGCGTACTTATATTAATAAGTAGGTTTTAGTTATAATAATAGTGCCGTCAAAATTAAAGGGTAATAAATGCCGTCGACTGATTTCGCAACTACTTTACACCGATTACAATTTGTAAAATTAGCACTTTAATGTACGACATTACGTAATCATAGCAACATCTCGGATACATCACGACTCGTTAATAGTGACTATAAATATCAAAGCGTCATTCACACATACAATAAACATCAGTTGGCAGATAAAATATTTGCTCAGCGGCGTCTAAAACAAAAGGTTGCGTTGACTCATCAGTCATGGTATTAGTTAACGAATTGACGAAACAATAGTGCAATACCGCTCACGAACAACTTTCTACTTAGGTAATTAAACAATAAAAGTATATTGTAAATACAAAAGAGCGGCCCGTCCGCACCTCGCATTCGAACGCTATAAAACTAAGATATAGGAAATTACACCAAATCATCGGCAACCGAGCAAGACTAATTCACCGCGAACAAAACGGCTCTAACGAAAATCTAAAATATTATCAGCATGCCTCAAAAGTCAGTTAAATTCGGCATTAACATAACGTATTCATTTAAACCATGACATTTCACATTTTGTAATAAATGCTCTTTCCTACGGCGCATCAATTAAGAGCCGAAAAAAATGGATAATTAGCTCTATTAAGACAATAAAACTCTTAATGATACCGCAACAGTCGTAATATCCGTGCGTTCGTGAAAAAATATGTAATTATACTCATTATTTAAATAGGTTTTTTCGTCCATTACGGCATAGCTTTAATGGGCGGGCGAGTGAAGCCGCTATCTTGAATTCATTAAATCGATTGGTTTCGGTAATCACCTAATTACGGATCACGTGATTTTCAAGTTAAGAGTTTTAATGCGCGAACCGTGTCTTTCTGATTATTTCAATCTGTCTAATTCTGTTTAATTAGCGGCCTACCCCCTGCCAAAGAGTCACCGCCCGTAGATAATACAGTTTTGCTTAAATTATTATCAACGCTGTTCTAAAATGCAAATGCAATTTATAAATAATACCTTTATTAGAATATTTCCTGTCACTCATAGTTTTAATAGATAAAATTAGCATTGGCTAAAACGGTTTTCCTGTCGACAGCTTTAAAATTTAAGCTGCAACATTTTTTGTTTTCGAATTTGTAAGTTTAGGAATGAAACTAAATTGGTACATTGAAACAGCTGAGCGCATTGCTAGTTGAACTTTTGTTTGTTCGAATAGGGGTAGGTCTCATTAATATTCTAGTTCTGTCTGATCGAATACAATTGTTCAGACAGTTTTTTTGGACCTAGTTTATTATTATCTAATGCTTTTGTTAATTAACAAACTAACTTTATTTCTGTGCTTTCCATAGCGGCTGCACTATGTCATTTAGATAGGCTATTTTAGAAAGTAATTTAGTTATAAGTCATTTATGTATACTGTTCAGAGATTGATGATAGGAATGTAATTGTAACCTTAACTTAAACATTGTGTTAAATAATGCTATGATGGCAAACACACAAACACACTTGACTTGGTCATGTCTCGATGAGGATATTTGAGTATTAAGTGGGCGAGGAACCCACGCAGTTTAATTAGTTAAGCTTAACAATAATATATTTGATACTTCATAAAAACACCTCTATTTGCACAAAATTAAGTAGAACCTATTCTAGAGCAAACCTTCATTTAGATAGATTATTAGATAGTAATTCAGAAAATAAGCGCAGTGCAGATACAGACATACATAACATGCGCTAAGAAACAATAATCAAATCTTAGCCTCATTCTTCTTCTCATTCTTCTTTTGAAAGCATTGTAGCCTAATGAATTACTAAGGGAATTTACATGAATAATAGCCTATAAAACTATTAAACTCACGACGAGTTCTAGAGACTATATTTTTAGCAAAATCTTTATATATTAATTTATATTTTTAGAACAAATTAATACAAGATGCTACGGTGCACTAGCTATGTACTGCGATAGATTCAAAGTCACACAGCGAAGTGTAGGGAATATTAATTTGTATATTATGCCAGTCGAGAGGAAATTTAATTTGACTTTATCAACGATTTTAGCTGAATTTTGACGACCCAGAAGTTGTAACTTCATATCTGGGAGACACAAAAATAAATTATTGTGTGTCAATTTATATTTCTGAATGACTCTCTGATAAATGAACCATCGATACCAAACCAAGAATTAATCAGCCTACCGCTGAGACAGCGGTAGGCTCGCTCTCTGCCATGTTGAATTCTGCATATATTTTCCAGCGAAATGTGGGCAAGTGTTGCGTTCACTACATCACCTAACATCGACTGTTGATAATGACTGACTACCCCATCTGGGATACAGACATAACGATTTCTTATGTACTTTTTATCAACTACATACCAGGCGCACTGACGCTCAAGTTTAATGGCGAGTTGATGACTGGATTCGAAGACATCGACGTCAGGCCCTGCAAGTTGGCAGCCAGTTGAGACATTTGCTGGGACATCTGTTGCTGCAACTGTTGCGACATCGGTGACATGTTCTGTTGCATGTTGGCAAGGTTCTGCAGGTTTTGGAACATTGACGCCACTGGGGACAAATGAAATAATAATATTAATTACTTTTTATATTATTACAAAATATCGTTATCAGAGGGACTTTGAACAATCCTTTCATTTACCTAATTCTGTTACTAAAATTGTTTTGCAAACATTATATTGTGTGGAGGGGTGAAATTACAAGGCATAGAGGTACAATAACTTAGACTGAAAGAAAAACAACATATGACAGGTGTCTTAGTCTTAATGTATTCTGTGATGACTATGACTACTCACGACGATAAACGACGATTACCATTTTTTATCTTGTACGTCATCTGCTTGTTTAATTTTTATTTAATAAAAAATCGAATTACTAATTAGCGATGGATCATTTAACAAGTAGTAAGTGAAATTTTACATGAAATACAATTCATAAATACTACTAGTCTGTTGCGCCTGTTACAAATACGCTCAATGAAAAACCACAGATTGGTCGCTGCGTTCAGATTTCATCATGAATCATCGGATTTCATCAATATTTGTTCGGGTTTAACATTGTTGACAAAATAGACACCTATGTTTGTACGAGTTTTTCAAGTACAATTAATTTATAAACCTACTTGCCGAGGGTTTTATAAAGGGTGAGGTTTTATAACATAAGTCAATATTAAATTATGGTTTCTTGAGAGTTGGAAAGGCGTATTCTCGTGTTTTAGGCGTCAATAGGCTAGAGTGCTTTTAGCCATAAGACCGCCTTTTGTTAAGCTCAATCTTAGAGATTATTCTTTTTGTCCATATTTTGAGTGGTATTATTATCCACACCACCGTTACCACTTACTATCACGTGGGCCGTCAGATTGAATGGAAAACATTCCATTACAAAACACAGTTTTATGTAAGGATACAGATCTTTGCCGATTGGTTACTTCTACCTCTAAAGACTAAAAGGAATTCTTTTATTTAATTAGCATGTCTACTATGGTAAACATTGCTGATCAATAATATTTTTATGTAACGCCTTATCTATTGTTCCGACATTTCGTAAATAAATAATTTAAATTTCAATTTTCTGTGCGATTAAACATATAAGGTATATATTTAGACTATAATATAAAGAAACGTTCAGTACGAACTCACTGGAGCCATTCAGGTGCGGCTGATGTTGGTGCTGATGCTGTGGGGAGCGCGCGTGCGGCGACGGCGTCCTCGGCTCGGCTATCTGCGCGCGCGCACCGCCCTCCGGCGAGCTCGCGCCGCTCTCACGATCCGACTCCGCCTGCTGACAAATGTAAATATACATATTAATATTTTTTCTGTAACTCTAACGACGAATAAACCGGCCATCTTATGGTCAATAGGATAACCAGCTAGAAACTAAAATACCATCGCGATGATCTGGATAAATAGCCGTCCTCCACCTACAACGTGCGTTTTTCTAAAAACTTTTTACCACGCACAACCACATAGTGGAATCATCCTCCAGTAATAGTAAAAAGATTATTCTTTCTTAAAAGCTGGCAACTCAGTTGCAATTCCCTTGGTGTTGCTAGTACTCATGGGCAGCGGTAATCATTTGGTAAATGATGAATCACGTGAACCACAAGTTCATTTGTCCTCTTTACGATATAAAAAAATGCCTATCAATTAATGGGTCGGGTCCAGTAACGCCAGTGGTAGCCATCACAGTTTCCATTTCAGTTTATTTGTAAAAAAAACTGTAAGTATTTCATTTTATTACATGGTCGTAGTGTACAAGGAAGATTTCAAATTTATGCATAAGTATCTTCATCTATGCGAATCCGGAGTGATAGCTAGTTTTACGGCCTTAGTGGTCTAGCAGTTTAGCACAACGGTTAACTTCGCGGGTTGCGGGTTCGATTCCTCGCATGGTGCAAACGTTTTGTCACCGTTTGGTCTGGGTATTTTCTGTATACATATTATATGTACTTTAAAAAAGTATATACATTAGTTATATAGTGCTTGCTCACACATGCTCTGCTTAGCTTGGGACTTGATAACGCTGTACGAATTGCCCAAGTAAATATTATACAATAATATTAAAAATATTATCGTTCGAATCATTACACTTTTATACTACTAGCAGGCACCCGGAAGCTATTGAGTACATTCATTTCGATTGATTGAGACTTAATTAATTCCTTATTAATATTAGTATATTTCCATAAAAATAAAACAATTATATTTATGCAGGCGTGTATTATTTGTTAAATAAGAAGGTCGTACTACCAGTTTTGAATTATTAACCTTATTTACTAGAAGGAAATAACTGGTATCGGTTAATTTGATATGGCTATAATTACACCTTATTATTTATAAAAGCATTTGCATTGTACATAACAAGGTAAGGACTGCTTTTGAAGAGATACTAAGTTAAACATTACCTATATTATTTATTGATATAAAGTTATTAATATTGAATACTTAAAAGAACTTATTGTAATTATTAACTTTCCTTTATTAGTGACAAAATGTCACAGGTAAGTTTGTTAGATTAATATTTAAAACGACAACCGAATACCGAATGTCTGAATGCCATCAGGAAAATTAATAAAAATAATATTATAAAATCACTAAAATAATACCAAATTTTGTGTAATATATTACATTAATTAATTTAAAAATTATTTATATTATATAATGTTGCCATATACTGTTCGTTATATAGTCTCGCAAGAATTAAGACGAATTTGATGAATAATTTTCGTGTTTTGTTCGCTATAAAAAATTGGTTACTGCATATGAGAATCATTAATTTAGATTGGTTTTAATAGATGGCGTTAGTGGTATACAAGACATAGTATTTAGTACTGATTTAAAATTGGATTTCAAAGATTTGATAATCAAAAGTCGTAACAAAGTATTAGGCGATACGAAGTTCATAGGGTCATTTAGTTATCTGTATATTGTTATTTAAACTAACGATCAGTTTGTTCATTATCCTTATTTCTTTATTTAGTACTCTTGTTATGTTTGTATAATAATAATATAGGTAATATAAATAATACCTTTTACGCATAAATTTGCTAAGAAGTATTTAAAGCAGTTGTAAAAAAATCAGATAATATTTTTTGAAGTTTTAGGTTAGTACGTATAATAAATCAAACTCGACAAGTAAAGTAAAATTTTAAAGACCAAATTATATAAATATGTAAAATAATAAAAAAAAAACTATAAAATCTAATTAAGATAATAAACTTACGAAGGACAATGTCATTCTCTCCACTTCTATTGTAATATTCACTTTGTTATTCTAATATTAACACTGTTTAATTTCCGACACATTGGGAAATTCGCTGTAGTTCGGGCACTGCGTATTCGCCGCGGCAACACTACGAAAAGTTTGCGAAACTTTTTAAAAGTTACCAAGTGAAGGAAAAACGACCACAATATTACGGAGGGCTTATTCTAACACGGTCATAGAACGCGCATAACTTGTTTATTGTTCGTCAAAGTTCTTTTGTTAACAGTAAAACGGAACGGAGTAGATATCGGCACGAAACGGAACACGGCGCACTATTGCATAGAGTTTTCACATATATTTTTATTTTTTTTTAGTTATCGCGAGCGGTACCCACACAGCCGCGCGGCGAAGTTGCACAGCGCGAATGAAAGCGCGTCATCAGTTTAAAAAATCAACCCCTTCTGTGGTGGTTGGAAAAAATGCGGCCCGCCGGGCGGTGGGCGGCCCCTCCGAAATCCTTGCCAAAGTGATCGCCACGCCATCGGACCGACTTGTCACTTGTCGAATAAGCATAATTAAAGTTTTCGTTTGTTTCCATTCACTCTCTTAATTAGTTGTTGATTACAACCGTCGTTTTTGGTATAGAATATTATTTTGATATCATTAAATATAAAAATAAAAATATTGCAATTAAACAGTGCAATTAATTTTAATGACTGTAATTGCTCACTCTATAATTGAAGACACAAAAACTCCTAATGATTAATACTAAAGTGGAGTAAAAAATAAGGAATTCCGTATTAGGGCATCTGATTGATCTCATATAAAATATAGAGTACGGTTTTACAATAACAATATATGTGTAGGTACAGGAGGATATTCAGGCCATTGGCTGGCACGACATTTATTATTTTTAAATTAAATTTTCTTAACATGGTTTTGATTATAGTCTTGCTTTTATGATCGACATAGTTTGTTCTGCGTATATTTATGATATACTATTATATCTTCTATAAGCCTTTGATTAACACCATCGTTGGCTGCACCTTGGCTGCACATAAGTCATGAAAGTGTAGTACATTTAAAGGTCTTCTAAGGTCGCCTGTCGCTCTGCTGACACTGCCGTTATTAATTTGTTTCAGATAAATCTGAAGTTACTAAATAATTTTATGATAGCAAGTTCATATAAAATATATTTGTAAAGATTTATTGCCTGACTACATAATACGATTAGACTGAAGCTTTATTTTTATATTTTAAATTGATGATTTATATATATATATTTCACTATCGCATCTTTATTTAAATACATAGCAATTATGTTTTACACATTATTGTTTTATTATAATTTAATCATTATAACTGACTGAATATCAATGTTCTGATTTATTCCTAATGACTGCTCCATTCTCCTAATTTCCTAAGCTTTTGAAATAGATTCAATAGGTTTATTCATCAATTAAGACGCACGTCAATTACAAATACCTAAACAAATGTTATGTTAAATGTTAGAAAAAAATTATACAAATAGAAAAAGTGCATTAGGTAATATTTCATCTTTACGTTACCTTCGTCCCATTATTTGGAGACGGAGTGAAATATACCAATATAATATTAATAATAATAATAACCCTTGATAATTCACACAGCGCCATCACGTCCCAAGTTAAGCAGAGCTAGTGTTAGGGGTACTTGGCAACTGATATAAATACTCCGATATATTTTTTCTGTAGATACATAAACAATAGACATTAAAAACACTCAGATAAATACAAACAATCATACTCATGCATTATTTGTACGGAACAAGGAATCGAATCCGCGACATCGGAAATAAGGCGGCATGAGTCATCTGCCGAATCAGAGCTTACTATCCTTTTACGCATATTATCATTGATACAAGCCATCATCAACATTTCTGTGTAAAAAATAAAGCTTTATAAAATTGTTAAACTGCAGCAGTTATAAAAATAAATCGTGTTTGTTGGAATCTGCGGTTAATCAATACAAAATATTTGGAGTTGGAATCTGTGGCCATAGATAAAAAATAGTTAATTACTAAACATCATACATTGTATAAAACCGTATAACCAGTAAATAGATAGAGCTGTAACAACTCTATTGGTTTGCTGACAATGTCCTGGTGCATCGTTGGCGAGATCTCTAATTATCCACTTTGGTTGTTTTATTTTGCCAAGTTTCTCACGATACGATGTATGTCAAAGATCGGGATAATTGGGGTTTATTCCTGAACTTCTTTAATACCATTATGCGACTGTATTCATAATTGCATGATAATAAACCATATGAACTATAAAAAAATAGGAAATTGACTATATCGCTTTTTGGTTAATATAATAATTCTGAGGTTATTTTTTAGTCAAGAATAATATGTAAATATAATAAATATTGAAGTAATCAATGAAGTTATAGTTTTAGCGAAAAAAATGATTATGTACTTAAAGTTAAGACTTTAATATAAACTAGGGTACCTATGTTAACAGATATAATCATATCTAAATAGCAGCTTTAAATAAATTACATTTATGCCTTATACGATTAAATCGCTTAAAACACTTTCTTTTTCTGACTATTGTTTCATTGTTTCTGAGTATATCTAAACAATTTATGTGTTTGGAAAAATAAATAAGCGTGCCTCAATGCGTCGCGTGGATGGTACAAAATTATTTGATCGGGCGAAAAAGTAGCCTAAGTTCTTCTTCATCCCAGGTATTAATATGATAAAATACCAAATTTCGTAATACCTCATTGACTCTTTAAGACGTTAAAAGGTTAAAAATAAATAAATTAATAAACAACCTTATTTTTAAACTCATAATATTAGTGAGTTTACTACATTGGTAATTGGAGGCTTGTTAGTAATGATCCTATTGTTTTGATAGTAATGTAACATCCTCTGGGAATTAGGCTAACAGACCTGATCTCTAGCCAATCTTATCATCGTCCACTGGTGTCCCGCCAAAGTACATCGGTAGGAGAGGGATATGCACTACATTCCATTACAATTCTTTAGAAAAATGGGTAAGTTGTGTTTATTCCAACGGACCAAAAAAATAGTATTAATAATATAATTTTAGCATAATTTCATTTTATCGCTCTACGAAATAACCCTATACACGTTAAAGTAAAAGTAAAGAATTCAGAATTAAAATGCCGCACAATAAAAGTATACGATAAATAGTAAATTCCCAAACAGCGATACTGTGGCCGCGCGCGTTGACTAATAAACGAAGTCGAAAAAATTATAATCAACAAGTAACATTCGGAATAATCAGCGGTACACGGAAAAAATCAGTAATTATTCAGATGAAGTTGGACGAACGAAGGGGGTAAGGGGGCAAGGGCCGGCCAAAATAAAAACGGCATTGCGTAGGGGTGACACCCCTCTCCCCTCGCTCTACAAATGTTATCTAACTGCGTTCGCTTCGCGCCGCGGTACCGTTCCATTCGGAATTAGCGCATCCGTACGAATTTTCAATTTGTGCTCGATTTTTTTCTTCGGATAGTTTGGTCCTAATGGAAAAGGCAAAGCGGCCGTTGCGTCTATGTACGGTCACATCGGATGGCGTCATCCGTGAACCGCTCGTAGGGCAGTTGAGGGCCCGTTGGCTGCGGGCGTACTTTGTATCACGTCATAATTTGGCGGACGAAGTGTGGTCATTATCGGTCGGCGTGGCACACACGCATAGCATTGTCCGCGCCGATGTGTGTGTAGATTTTTACTCATTAATTTTAAAACGCTCCGGATTTTTTTCAGGGCGGGTGCTAGGGGGTCCGAGCGGGGTGCCGTGGGGGTGAAAATTGGCGATGGCCGCCGGGTGGGGTGTCACCGGCGGGGGTTATTAAATAGATTGGTCCGCGGCCGAACGGAGCCGTCGATCTGCACTTGTACTCGCGTCATTAACGGGTTGAGAACCGATTTTAAATCGTGAAATAACAGCCTGTTACAGGAAAAGTTGAGCGCGGCTTATCGAGAAATCTGTGCCGTATTCTACAAGTTTAATTGCATTAATGTTTTTTTGCTTCTATCGCGCGCGCGCTGCTCTTTATTTGCGAGAGGCTGATTGTCTTTTGCGTGCAGTTGGCAGTTCGCGCTTGATCATGTTATTAAACTTGTCTCATATCGGTGATATGAGTACGCATCCGGAGTTGTCCAGCAAGCGTAGTCACAACAATACACAGGAGTGCTTCCAATACACACACGCACGACGTTTTTTTTCTGCGGCCGTTCGGCAGCAGGGTGGAAGGGTGGTTGAAGGGGGAGGAAATGTGAAAAATACACGAAAAAAGGCGAAATTGTAGCAGATATATAATTAAAGTCCGACGTACAGTAACAGCGTACGGCGATGTATTATGCAGACGCGTTTGGTGTCGCGGGCCACTCGATATAGGCCGTTTGCATATTCGTACATTTGTATATCAGGTATCAAACTGTTTGTGTAAAGTGTCCACTTGATTGCTTTACACCCAGCGGGCTAACTTGCGAGCCAGCGAGTTGACTCTGATTTTTAAGGGGACATTACACTAGCATCTCTAAAACATCTTTAATATAAATATTAGGGTCTTCAACGCATATTTGAAATTTAAAAGGGATTTCATAAAATTATTCTTAGAGTATACATTTTGTATTTTTTTATTGGCTATATATACTACGCTATATATAGCCAATATATTTAATTTAGTGACCTACGCTAGAAGCGTCTAGCGTAGGTCACTAAATTAAATATATGTATAAAAATATCAATCAAGCTAAATAGATTGTTTAGAATACTTTTTTTCTTCTACATAACAAGGTGTTCATAAAACTACACACCTCGAAATGAAGGTGGACATCTGATAAATTAGACTTATTAAGAGAAGTTCCTAATAAAACTATTTGTAGTAGAGTAGATAATTGTTAGGGTTTCCAATAATTTAATTTTCTTTTTATACTTGCACCTTTAATATAAGATCATGCTGCCACCTCCTTTAAGCGGAATACACTGCTGAAGATGCAGTGGCATTGTATCTCATAACTTTAGGTTTAGGAGGAGATTTTTAGTAATGGGAACTAGTGACTCAATTGAAAGCTATTAATGTCATTTCGATCTCCACACGGTTGCCCTTCATACCATCAAGCCTGGTGATTTTAACACGATGATTTGAATTTATGCTCGGACGGGACTCCGGTGAAGGATGATAGGATTATAATCCTTCACGTACCTGCCACCAGCGTATCTCGTTATTAAAGGAAACTTACTATCAATATCGTGCATTGACGACAAGTAGCAGGATTAAACAATAAAAAATAATATGTACGTCTAATATTGTATGAGTAGTTAAAATTTTAATAAAATATTATATATTAATTTTAACAGTGTGATAATTAATATAGAGTTTGTGTAGCGAATAATACGTCTTGTTATCAAAACATTTATTCAAATCCGTAGATTTGTGTATGTATTCGGTTCCGATCCACGCAAGAGAAACAGCTGAAATTTGCTAGTCTATCTATATATCTCACGACATTTTTATATATGTTTAAAAAACTATTTTTCTATGTTTGGATTATTTATCACTTTTGAAATATACGTGTTTTTTCAACAGCGACTATGGTTTCTCTTAATAGAAAATAATAAATATACAATCCTTAAGAATCTTAGTAAATTTTTAAAGACTTTACAATTCTTCACAAATATTGTACACGACTTCGCACACGTGTATATTTGTACATTTATGTTCAACATTGGTAGCCTATTTATGATGATCAAGTAACAACAATAAGTAAGGCATCTGTACAATGCCATCTAGTATTATATTGCTAAACTTTTTTTTTAATTTCTTGTCTCCTTCGTATTTTGGTCGCCTAACAGTGTACACTAAACTTTCAACTACATTAAGTGCCCGATGATGCCTCGTTCAGAGGCGAAACACGTGTCGCAATATAGGTGTAGATAACAGTTGGAATTTGATTACTAATACAGAAGGTCGTAACGCATCCAGTAGCGGTGACCAGGATTTTGCCCTGAATATTTGTGGTCGCACACATGCTAATGGTAGCAGAATTAAACAAAATACTACAAATCCATTAAGTAATGAAGTGGACTTCCGTAAAATAACACCTAATTGGATAAAAAAATATTATTAAAATTGTGGATGGCATGTCGAAAATAATCTCAAGATTAATTATTCCCGCCTTTGAAAGGTTTTCTTGTTAGCTTTTTTTAGCTCTGTTGGTCCATATTTGACAACACATTCTGTGCACATTTCATCGTTATTTTTACGTGAATCCTTACACAAGCAGATAAACCGACAAACAACTTCATCTGGTCACAATTTTATTATAAATACATAGAGAAAAAGAACAAGAAACGATAACAAATCTAAAGAAGAGAGTAAATTTCATTTTATGGAATGTACATTCTGAAATCTCTACACTGATAATAGAAATTCATTCACTCTTCGCTAGGTACATTATTTTAGAGTGACACTAAACTCACAATGTTATAAGGATCCGGACGAAGCCAGGGTTAGCCACTAGTGTTGTTTCTAACTTAACAGATGGCATTTTAAAATTAATAGACAAGTTACTAATTGTACACATTCGAGTTCCAAAAACCTCTTAAAACATTTAGAAAAGCACTTGCCAAATAATCAAATTGATTGTTGTGAACGCATCGATAAAGCGTCTGATCAGTAGGGGGCGCACGACAGATGGTTAGAGGGGGGCTTTACGATTAATTTAACATTAAATTCAATAATAACCTCCCATTTATTGCGTAATTTCCTTTCAATTACGTTTCATTTATCGCTCTGTAACTGGATTACAGATGTGATGAACATTCGGTTGAAGTGTTTACGTCTAGTTTGTCTATTGCCGTGTTGTTATCTGTATTATGTTGGTTTTGTTTTCTTTTTTTTCTGCTTATCTGTTAGCAACTCGTCGTGTAATCTGATGCCTGTAATACCACTCATGCGTTGTTATTCCTGAGAACTAAGATGTCATGCCTCGCATGTAATTTTGCTTTCTTCTATCGATCGATAGTTAATCAGTTGTGGCAAATGCACCAGGAATTAACGGCGCTGGTATCTAGAGGAGTCATGGCTACATTGCTAGCAATAGGGCCACTATTAGCAATTCTTTTTCTAATAAAAACTTTTCTGTTTGCCGGGCCCGATGGAAATAAAAGGTGGTAAATATAGAGCGCGATCTCAGTTCGACAGATCGATCCTACCGATTGAGTAGATTCGATAGGTTAGAAATCGCTGTAATAAAGAGTTCTAAGTAGTAGTGTAGCCCATGGGGTACTACCGGCCCCCGTAGCGCGGCGCGTGGGCACTCAACTCGACGCGTTCACTCGATTGTTCGAATATAATCATAGCAAATTTAAATTTAAAAATCCATTGTTAGACACCACTTACATACTGATTGGACTCGCAATTAGAGTAAGCAATAAATTTTTAGTGAAATCTTTTGTGTTTAGAAAAGTGATGTTAAGAGTGAATTATAATAAAAAATATATATTTATTAATTAATTTTTATTGAAGGCTGAAGACCAGTTTGGCCAGTAAGACAATATAAAAACACGGTTGAATCAAGAATTAAAATAAATGGTATAATGATCAAGAATGAAAATAATAATATTTCGACGCTGTTACAAACGTCTTAGTTGCAGGACGATACAGATTATGGTGGATGTTAACAATTATTAGTTGTTAATACTGGATTCATTAAAAATTGGAGCACGTGGAACGAACGAAAAACAACATATTTGAAGGAAACTGTATAAATCACTCATAAAATATAGTCATTTCATGAATCCTGTCCTTTTTAAAGTCAGTCATAACTGTTTTGTAATTAGAAAAGTACGTAAATTGAACTTGCCTTCATGTAGAAAGTCATACGGGCGAGTAGATGCTTTACATGTAAAAGAAAGGTTGCAATTAAAATTATGTTTCTCTGGATTAAATAGGTTACTCTGTTCAGTATTCATTCACGTTTCGTGATTTATTCTTGAGTAAAAACTTGACAAGTAATACTTTTTAAAATATAATCCTAAAAGTAATAGTAATGTCAAATATATGATTTAAAAAATGTAATTGTATAGAATTATAATTAAAAATATGATTTAATTTAATTTGTATATTAAAATAACAATTTAGTTTATAAATATGTGCTTTAAAGGTATAGAATATGAAATTGAGATTATTTGTATTTTGATATTTACACTTATTTTCTTTAATTTTTTTATTTAAATACATTTATTGTACTTTAATTTCAATTATATTAAAATATTACATATTGTTTAATATATTTTATTAAATGTTAGTATATGTGTATGCTGCAAAGATTTTTAAGATTCATACAGAGTAATAACAGTTTCGATGATTGGTATTAGGTGGATTTTTGTTTGTCAGCAATATACAAATGAAACACTGGTGCTATAATTTTACAAATATTACGTCGCTTAGTTTAAAATATTGCAAACACTGGCTGAATATCAGTATTAGAAATACACACGGTTCCACAGGTTTATAATAGGAATATATCAATATTGTAAATGTCTGTATATTATATGTTATTTTGCATGCATGTTTTAAAGTATCATTTCCCCGTAGCATACATATTAGGAATATACATACATACAGCATTAAATGAAAGTTAAGAAATATCTATTTGTGGTTTCTTGTATACATTTGTTATTAGGAAATAGTTAAATCGTTTGCAAAAAGACTATGTTGTATTAAATAAGTCATATTACAATTATAATTTGAAAAACCTACAAATTCTAAAAGATTTCTTATTGTGTTGTGACAGAATTACTGGTGCGTTTACGTTTACTATAATAATGTAGCACTTCTAGTATTGGACAAATTAATATTACATGATAAACGTTTAAAATAAACAATGTTTATTCATTTTATTTATTTTAAAGAATACTAATATAACATTTTCTTAAAGACAATTTCTACTCGATAAGGCTATTGACCACAGAGTAGTAAGTATGTGACATAGTAAGTAATCAAGTCTAGATTAGGTTAAAACTCTTTTTTTTAATATTCATTATAATCAAAGTATGTACTTTAATTTGTATTACATATAACTCTCTCTTGACTTTGTATTTGAATTCTAATTGTGTAATATACTTGTAATAATCCATCGAACTCACAATATACTTTAAAAGGCATATAGAGCACTTTATCTTCACGTGCAGATTTAAAATGGCCTGTTTAAAAACCCTGATAATTAAGATAATTCTATTCTTATCTGGCGTAACTTTCACCACGTCGTATTGTACGGAATTCCAAACGGGCACCACCAAATAAAAGCTGACTTTAGCACCGTGAAAACAGGATATAAAATCCCAAATCAGACACGATGCCTTTTAAGGCCTAACTAAATTGCAAAAGACTATTGACTCGATACTGATTTTCCATATTCGGTGTTACTGATAATAAAATACCAATTAATAACATTTTGAATAAAGCTAGCAAGCAATATATGACTCAATCGATGTACTATGCTAGTTTTTCGTATATGCAATTAACTGATTTCACAAAAAAAGGAATTCCCTTTAGCCTGGTCGCCGGCGAGGCCATGGAAAATGGCGTTCAAAAGAAACTGAAAAAACTGTGAAAAAATAGTAGGCCCACGTATGGTAAATAGCATCGAATGCCGGACCCCTCCCACCTAGACTCCCCCCCTAATTTGTAACGTTATTCTAGGCGCTTTGCATACAAAATGTTCAAGAGCGATTCTGTATGATTCTGTCTATCTTTTACTATATTTTTATGTAAAGTAATTATTGAATATAGTTATAGAATAGCGTTATCATTGAAATTTTCTCTTCAATTCGCGAAAATAGTATGTTACTAATTTAGTCTTCGAATATTGATTCTAAATTACAATTTTGTAAATCTTGCGGCTTTTATTAAATATATTAAAAAAATATTTGGTTTAGGGTTAAAGCTCGTGCCCAAATGAAAGTAAATAAAAAACCTTCAGCCGACGCGCAAACTCTTAACTTCATCCTTAACGATGACATCTTTTAGAGGTTGAGAATAGTATCGCAGGAAAAGTAGTCGTTTTAAACATAGGATGGTTTATGACATACAGTTAGGATTAAATAAATGCACAGTGTACTGACATGTTTAGATTCATAATTTTATCAGAAAATCTATAAATTATTTTAAGATATTTTAATTTTTATTCCGCGAAGACTTTATTTGGAGGTATATAAGTGATTCGTTATTTCCTTTTAGTAACTTTTATGCGATCAGTTAAAAATTACCTACTATTATCCTTATCAAAGTTACAGTTGGCGCCGGGCAGGTACCCCAAGAAACAAGGCCACGGCATAACATGATACATTATACAGCGTCATTAAAAGCACATAGAAAGAAACGTAAGCCGCAATTAAAGCCGCCATTCGCAATTAAAATAATGGCTGTCACACCTATGAGACAATTAGGTGGCGGGAATAAATTCTATGTTTTGGTAGCGGTCCGCCATCGCTTAATTAGGGCTAATCAAAAAAACTTAATACACAGTAATGGTTCATAATAGCGAGGTAGTTTGCGAGCCCTCCCTGGTACGGCTAATGTGAACTAATAACGTACTTTGGGCTTTTGGAATCCGTGTTTTGTTGATAGTACTGTAAATAATAGCGTAGATAAAAGTTTTTCTATTGTAATAGTCATAATGTGTGGTGGTAGACTCAGAATATAATGTGTCATTATTATTATTCATCCCCAGGATGTTATAAGATAGGACTAGGAGGACAAAACCTAAACGTATTAGTAGAAAAAAATATACACCGGGGAAAAAATCCCATATAGATTTTTCTAAATACTCTCTCCTCCACACCTCTCCAAGCCAAAGACGTTCTTTGAGCTGATTTACCTTTCTACGCCACTCTTACGACATCTTAAGATTAAAGAGTTGTTATAAATATACATATACAGTTTATCAATTGGGCCAATTTGATGTTAATAACATTTATGAAATAAGTGTTCCAAAAATATTAAAAATTAAAAACTAATTTGAAAATTTACCAAATTACTTTATACGTAATCATAACAAAAAAAGAATACCAGTCGTATTTCTTGCCAGTTGTTCTCAAATAACGTAGCTGGCGGAAATGGACCTTAGGAATAGTGATAAAAATATGAGAGGCCTAAAGGGCCTGGTTAATAAATAATTTTGAGTATGAGTTTCAATAAGTATGCAATGATTATTGCCACCTTTGTAGTTTAAAATAGTAGATAACACTAATATATGAATCGTAAACTATTGCTGTAGTTATTAAAAAGGTAATTATTGTTTTTGTTAAAGTTAACAATTTACATTAGTTACTGTTATCGATCGGCCGTCATCATTTAGGGCTGCCAATTCAGAAAGAGTTTAATTTGCTTACCAACAGACTGGCATACGACTAGCTAGCAATTACGGTTAATGATAATAGCGCCTTTATTACTTATGTCCATTAGCATTGTATTCTCAATGCTACTGACCCCTTATACTTGAAGGTCGATTTTCTACGTAGGTATGATACGTGAAATGGTAAATTATGTTGCTTAAACTTTGGTGGGCATTACAGGTCCCTGGTCATGACTTTCCTCCTTCTATACTTACATTATCTAAGTTTTTAATGAGGATATCCACATATTCAACGAAATAATACAAAGGTTAACAAAAAACATATCAAGCTTATTATATATTATACGTATTTTAAGACAGAGCTTATTTGAAGCCTATAAATCATGATTTACCATTATTGGTTTCCAAAGTTATGAGATTCTAGAACCACTAAAAATACTTATAATTTATCTGATTTTGTATTCGCGGTATTTATATACGGGATCCGGTGTATTTTAATAGTTTGATAATCCATAATAATTTATTACATATGGAGTATTTATAAGTTTGTATTTATTATTATAATAAACTTCACAAGACCTATTGTCAATAATCCTAATATTAGAGCTCTTATATTTAAGTCACACTTACATAGTATATCGTACATTTAATTTACAGCTGTAATTATGCAGTAAAAGATGTACAGAGCAGATATCCAAAAAAGTATATCTGTAGTAAGTATACATCTGTCGTTATTGACTCTATGTGAATTTAAATATTTTTACACAAGGATCCTAGATTTAGATAAACATTTTTTTTTATTTTGTAAGTAAAGACAAACAATATACATCCACGAACACTACACGATATCCCTACTGAATTTCAGTTAGTATTGTGTAAACTAAAAGGAAATAAATGAAAAGTTTGTTTTTTAGTTTCTAATGTGTAAAGTCAACAAACAACAGTAATTCCAATAAACATTGCACCCGTTCCAAGCCGAAGCGGGTTTCTAGTTTTTAATAAACCAAATAGGCCATTTCTTCGGAGCGAAAGTCCTAATGGTTATATAATTGGACGTACCACTTATATTTTATAGTAGTTTGTAAGGTGCTTTATTAAGCATGCGCGATAAGGCTGCGATAAGTTAATTTTATGAGAATGATAATTTTGTACTAATTTTCTACGTGTTTTAGTTTATTTTAATGACGATTAATTAACATGTATGTTCCTTTGTGTTGAACATGGAGTGATGGTTATTCGGATAAGATCGACTATCTTCGGAATGTTTCGGTTCAGGGTAGAAAGGTAAAATTTGGCGCCAAGACGAATATATTATCTGTGGTAAAGTGTAATTTACACTAATGGTCGACGTAAATTCTATCGTGTATAAAAACTATAATTTAATTATAATCGTATATAATTTCAATACATTTATTTATAAGTAGGTACTTATTAAGTACCTACTTAATGAAATATTATTGGATTATTAATAATATTTTGAATTCGCATAATAATAAATCATTAAAAAATTCCTTAGTTAGTTCCTGTTAAATTAAATA